TAAGTATATCATAATAAATAGTATTATTATCTTATATTTTAGGTATAGAAATTAGGTATAAAATTAAAAATTCTAAATATTATATAATATAAATATTATAAAATACAATCTCTATAAATGTAATATTTATATATTATACCTAATAAATTCTATTGGCCGTTAGATAATTTTTAACTTGACGGAAAACTCAATTATCGGAAAACTAAAAATTATTATTTTAATGTATTAGAGGACAATAGATTGATGATCAAATTTTTACAAACAACGTAAGGTAAATAGGAACCAATAAAATCAAAGTATTTATCTTTATTGATTATCAAACAAAATTCTGCGGGTATCGTAACTTTTTAACAAAGAATTTTTTTCAAATGGAAAGTGATATAAAAAAAAAAAAAAATTATTATTTTCTCAATTGTATTATTTATACTTGAATAAAATTAAAATAAAATAAAGAATATACAATGTATAATATAATGGGATAAGTCGGAAATCAGAAGAATATTTACGTAAATGTTATACAACAACACATATATATTTATAAAATAGAATAAATACGGAATGTTGGAATGAATAATTTTCAAAAAGTAATATGATGTGAAACATAAAAGATTTCTTATTGATAAAGAAATTATTATAGAATAATTAAATTATAAGGTTTAACATTATAAAATATCAAGTTTAAAAAATATGTAGTACATATATATTATATATAGGGAGCTTCTAAACATTCTTGATCAATTTAAAATTTTTATTCTTTTTTACTTTTAAAGTAAAATTAAATGAATAAATATTTTACACAAGAATCAAAAACCAATTAAAAAGATGAGTTAACGTTTAAAAGAACAAGTTGAGAATCCTGATTTTATTATAGAATCAAAAAAAACCAATTAGATTCCAAACGTGATTTTTTAAAATTTACCATTTAACATTGGTCTCACAATCTCACAAACATTATAAAAAAAATATAATGATTGTATTCTTATCTAATTGTAATACTTTTTAGTAAAGAAAAAGAATGAAAGAAAGAAAAGAAGGAAACAAGGAAGGAATCCAGATTTTATTGTTATTATTTGTTATTGTTAATAATTTTTTTTTTTTTTATTGTTGTTTTTTTTTTTTTTTCTTTTTGACAAATAAAATCTTTATATTTTTGAATGATAACATGATAACGGGAAATCCTTTGTTTAAAAAAGAGATACAATTTGTTATTCATTTAAGTTTTAACTAAAAGATCGATAAATTACCTTAATCGGCCGAATCACACATAAATACATATTATTGTATTAAAACATATTATATTATTATATATTGTATATAAAAATATAAATATATTATATATATATATATATATATATACATGTATAATAGTGTATACAAATATGTTATCGCGTGTATTTAATAGATTTTCGTATCTAAATATCGAATTAATGGAATGTAAGTTTTTTCTACGCAGTAAATCACGTGATTTATAATCTCGGATTAACTAAATCGATTTCCAGATGGTAAACTGGTTAAATAACGCACCATTGTTTTTGCAGATTTATTTATATTACGGCAAAGTATGACAGATGAACAACAAATAATAAATAATTATTCGGATTTGATTACGGGTTATTTTACAGGTTGAAAATAAAATATTATAATTAAAATTTTTTTATTATTATTTTTTATTATAATTATTCCGGAGAATAAAATGATTTATAAATTAACCATTTAAAGAATAATATATATTTATTATTGATAAGCAGGTGGAATTTTTTTTTTTTTTGGGTAGAAAAATAGAAAAATAGATTTATTAGTTTTATTTATTTTCTTTTTTGAAGAAAAAATGATCTTTTTTATATGTAGTAAAACCCGAATTGCATCAATAATCTATTTCTGTAATGTTTATAATGTTTATATAAGTAAAAATAACTATTAATAATCAAAAGAAAAAGTTTTCATGTTGTTTCACCGGGATATTTTTATTAAGATAATTTATTTTTCCCTGTTTTTTTTGAAATTAAGTTTTAATAAGAAGAAAAAAAAAAATTGAAACTTTTAGACCTTTACCCCTTTTGTGTAATTAAATATGTGTAATTAATTAATAATCTGTCGTAATATCACATTTTTAATTGATCCACAGATAATAAATAAATATACATGATTATAATTTTCTTGGTTTTAAAAAAATTTAAGGTTTTGTCTTTGTATAATACTAAAATAACGGTTTAATTATGATTAGCAATGTTACAATGTTAAATTTTATTGTTATTTATCAATAAACTTAATAATCCTAATAAAACCTTGTCTCTTTTTGAAAAGAAAGAAAAGAAAGAAAAGAAAATATGATCGGTTGGTTTGTTCTTTATGAAAAATCTGAGAAATTTGGAAGTTCATTCAACCCATATAAATTCCATTGTTTAAATAATAACATTGTAAAAAAGATTATTTAGTAATCAACTTTTTATTTTTTTTCATTCCTTCTTTACAAAGGAATAGTAGTACTATTATTACGAAATTGACAAAGAAGAGAGAATTTGATTGGACATGAAAAAATAATAATATGCAGGGGATAAATTAAAAAGAATTAAAATTAAATTAAATTGAAATTTAATCCTAGTTTTGTAATAATAATACCAATAATAATACTTGTAAAAGTGAATATTGTATTGTCTTTCAAATTTGGAATGAGTAAAAGAAACAAACGGATAATTTTAGATTGTGGTATGCATATGTTATATATATATATATTTATAATATTTATAATAAATTTATGATATATTTATAATATTTTTTTTTTATAATGTTTATCATTATTTATCATATTTATTTTATATATTATATATATAT